TTGTCAACTGGAGGTTTGCATGTAATGCAGCCGAAGTTAGCAAAAGACGTGAACCGAAAACATCAAACAATGGGAGTGAAAACAAGTTAGCTATATCTCATTGTGTATTTGTGTTAGGTAAATAGTTTATCTGATCACAAATCGTTTGTTGTGTCATTCTCAAGATACAGTTCTGGTTCAGGAGTAGAATTCTTCTTTCAGTTACTTCCACATAAGCGCGATGAAGGTTTTTATCACTAACACAAACAAAATTTTCCATAACTCTGGCATGCTGTAAAATCGACTGAAACTATCCTGCATACGCGATGAGATGCAATAGTATGGTTCCACCGGTAACAAGTGCGATTTTATCCCGAAATGATGACAGGTGAGAAACGAATTGCCTGGTTCCGGTACTGCATAATGCAAAATTGTAGAGTAAGGCTTTTAATTATAAATACAACTCTAAATGAGTAGGTATTCGCCCAAAACGCATGTTGTTGCTTCTGCATTTCATTATAGAAAGATTGTAAGTGGGACGGGAAACAGAACCACAGAAATGTGTCCCGCGATTTCACTGAATGATTTCAACACTGTCATTCCATAGGGTTTTGGCTTCATCTACCTGCGCATAATCGGGTCGTGCGATGAAACGAAACAGGAGTTTAGATGAGAGCGACAAGCCTCGACAAGCAAACTCCGCGGTAGTAACGGTAGAATAACAACAGGGCGGGGATCACACAGCGAACACCATGTGGTTGAGAACAGCATGAATCAGTAACACGGCCAATGGCTCAATACTCTACATGATCAAATAGTACCGTATTCTGCCATGTCCCGTATATGACTAAAATTTTCCACATTGGGCATTGATTTATGTGGGAAATTGTGAAAAAGGTACAAAAATCGGCTCACGCGAAAAGATAAGAAAACTTTCGGGAAAGCGAGTCAGGAACAGGAGGAACCTAGGACGGGAAAGAATGAAAATGGAGAAGGAGCAACATTGCGCCTTAGCGTGGAACAAAGTGAATAAGAATAAAAATGTATACTACAAGTACAGAAAATACTCTTGGATGTACAGGCATTAAGCAGGTGGTTGCACCGTTAGAAACGGACCTCATGCAGTGATGGGGTTTAGGAATGAATTAAGCAAACCATAGGCAGATAACCGACGGTTAGTCTTAAAAGTCGACATGAGAGGTGCTTTGAAAAACACCGCCGTGTACAGAAGCCTATTAGGTCAAAACATGGTTGGAAGTAATATTTGAGTCTAAAAGCACTCCAATACAGAAACAGAGAATGTTGAAGAAGGCACGAAATCTTGTACGGTGCCGTAACTGAACGGGGTGGCCATCTAAGTAATTGTATCAAGATGAACCCAGATTGAACATCCATTAAAGAAGCCTCGAATCTAAACTATGAAACGAGAAGAGTGTTCTAACTAGTCAAGTTTCTCTAGCAGCCTAGTCGCCTACCGATGAATAAAAAGTGGTCAGCATACCGTTATTGTGAGTTATTATTATTCTATTTTAATTTTTATTTGGGTTTGTTCCAGCTTTGCTTGCCATGATGTACAGTGTAAGATACTGAGTCATCAGCCATTTTTCAGCACATTACTATCGGAAAGTGATATTGATTTACACTTGTTATCTGTGCTGAATGTCCTGAAATGGTAAGCTTTTCGGCAGTTCGCTTGACCTGCAGTCAGTCAATATTTAGGGGGTCAGAAGCCAAAATTTCAACATACTAAAGTGCCAATTCTTTCGGATGGACAGCGTACCTGAAGTATTCTCGGCGTCCTCAAACAGTGATATGATATTTCCAACCTCCGTGTGTTGATGAATTGGTGAACATCGGAGATTTATTTACTAGAACCGTATTCACACAATCCTAAAATCCTACTCCTATTTGCACACAAATAGCAATGCGTTACATTTGACGACACTGAAAAAGTTGATGTATACCGGAATATTTGATGGTGCTAAGCACTATGTTATCATAATCACGAAAATCGTTAGTAGCTTTGTACAGTTAAAATGATGAGTCTATTCGATTTGCACGGGGGGCTGAGCTCTGTGTATGGTGTGGACCATGTAGCAAAAGGGTCAGTATTTTGGCTCACAACTCTGTTCAATTCCCGTGTGAAACATAAAACTTACGTAATGATGATGAGTCTTCCGAAAAGGAAGAAACATATATCCCGTGTTCACACACACAATACGTAAGTCAAGGAAAACTAAGATGACATTACATGTAATCAATATTCAATAAACCAACTTCTGGACGGTATTTTTTAATCCACTGTCAAACTGGGCTCAGGTCGCATCTGTTTTACCATTGGCCTTACCGTGCGGCCCGATAACAAAACACGAAACCAAACATAAC